TTAAAAAAAAAGAATATTAAGCAAAGGGTCAGCCAAATAGCTCAGCAGATTAGAGTACCTGCTGCAGGGGCTGGGAATTCAATCCCCAGGCCTGCCGTGCTGGCCCCGCCCCTGGGGCACGCCAAGACAGCGATAGAGACTGGGCATGGTGGTGTGTACCTGTAATCCCAGCTCTTGGGAGGCTGTAAACAGGCAGTTCACTACAAGTCTGATCTAGTAGAGAGACCCTGAACACCCTGTAGCCCCTTCCCTAAAATACAAAAAGATAAATAAATAAATAAATAAATAAAATACACAAAAAGGAAATAAAATGTTGACAATGACTCTTCTGGGTGGCAAGATGCTGCCTTTTCCAAGTGCTACAATGAATGACTTTGTGTAATTATCACTGAGTAAGAAAGCAGGAAGAAGGGCAGAGCAGATAAAGAGAAAGAGAAGAAGAAAGATAGTCCTGCCAATCTGGGTCTATGTTCAACACTCATTTGTGTCCTGAGTTAACATGCAGATAATTCAATGAACCTGTGCTGATTAACCGTCTCTTCTAGAAAGTTACAGGGCAATTCACGGAGGGTCCACAAACAAAAGTACACCAGGCACTGAAATGGGGACAGAAAGATCAGAATGCTGACCCCAGGTCTTTGGTGACTGGCGGTGTGACTGCCTCCTCTGAGAAGCAATGGGGATGCACCCCTGGGGCAGTGTACAAAGTCCACATCTGTTTTCCCTAGATTCTTCCACCTATCCAGGAAAGTAGGCTGGACAGCATTACCCAAAATAAATTGCCCCCAGTCTCTCTGCAATGGCGGAGACAGAGAGCAGATTCCTGGGTCATAGTTCAAGGAAAATGGCAAATGGCCATGGTCCCAGAATTTCAATACTGAACTATGGGTCTCCATGGAAGTACCTGGGACATAGGACAGGTTGCAGACCTCCCAGGTGGCTCTGAGACATGGTCCTCCCCCGGTCATTTTGAGAGAAAGAAGGAAGAGGCCAGGGTAGAGGTTACCTTGAGAGGAAGGCATGATGCTGGGTGATGGCCTCACAGTCATAGGTAGAGGAGTCGCTCTGTTTCCGTGGCAACGGCCTCTTAGGCTCCTCATCTTCTACCCCACTGGAGATGTCAATGTTGCTCTTGCTGAGCCGCTTGCTGCTGGCCAGGCTGCAGTCTTCCTCCACCACCACTGGGGTGTCCTGGGGGTCAGTCAGAGGATAAGATGCACTGCCGTTGCAGGGGCCTGCCTCCTCCCCCAGCTACAAGTGAGCCCCCCGTCCTTCTATGACAGGGGGAGCTACATTTTCAAAGGCATGCAGAACCCTCAGGGTAACAGTGGGGAGACTTTAAGTACAGGATGTTTTCCATGGCCACAAGGATGAGCCATCCAACTGGGATACTGGACAGCTGTCTAGGGAGCCAAATCCAAATCAGCCTCTATGGGCCTCAATTTCCCCACTAGTGATAGTAATCTCTTGCTATTTTTGCACATTTGTGATACAGTCTTTGTACCACAAATCAAGGGTGTCAGCACCACCTCCCCCCTCCTCTGGGAACAGAACCTCCCCAGTCCCACCACCTGGCCACACCTGGGTACTGCTGATGCTCCCTTTCCGGCTGCTGCTGCCTGGGCTGTCACCTGAGGGCCCTGCACTGTAGCAGATGGCATCAAAGGCCAGGAGGCCACCCACACAGTCTCCGATGAGACACACCTGCAGGAGGCACAGCTGGGACTGCAGGCCTGCCCACTGCTGGCCCTCACCCCACACCCAGCCCTACTGGGCTGCTTCCCACAGGAGAGGAAGTAATGAGTCCTAGAGAGGTTCCCAGAGAGCCCAAATGGAGGTGGGCAGGGCTCGTCTTGGGGTCAGGACTTCATCTAGGGTCAGCTTGACGACTGGATCAGGCTACACTTAGGATCAGACTCAGCTAGGGATCCGCATGGGCTCCAAATCAAAGCTCAGGTTGTCAGCCTCAGTGTTCCTATCTGTAACATGAGGGCAAAAATCCCTCACCTCAAAAGTCACCTTCAGGTGGGTATGGTGGTTCATGGCTACAAACCCAGTACTCTGGGAGGCTGAAGTAGGAAGATTGCAGGTTCAGTGCCAGCCTGGGTAACTTAGCCACTTAGGGAAATAATCACTCAAAACAACAAATTAAATAATGGGCTGGGGATACAGCTCAGTGCAGAGGCCCTGGGTTCAATCCCCATACCACGTTAAAAGCAAAAGCTTCTTCGGTCTTAGGTGCTACAGTTCTTGAATGGCTGGTCTTGATCTTCCCAGCCTTCCAGCAGATCCCAGCCTCTCTCTCCACAACAGCCAGGATGGGAAGGGAAGGCAAGGCTGACTTACCTGCCCACTGAATCCAATCCCATCAGCAGACTTGAGGAACTCGCTGTAGACCTGGTTGGCTCGCTCGATGACCATCGCGACAGCGTCCTGGTACTGGGGAGAAGAGATGGCGAGCAGGGGCAGGGCAGCCAGAGGGACGTGGTCCTGGCTGTTGCTCAGGCAGCCCTCATCGTGGCTATAAGGGTTCAGGCTGCAGACAGGAGTCCATGGTAAGCCCAGCTGGGATCAGAAGGAGGGCTGGAGTAGGGCTGAGGAGCAGGCAGAGGAGAGCACGTACGGACCAGACCCTGGGCCCCCAGCTCCAGGGACCTTCCTTGAGGGCCCAAGCAGGGCCCAAGTCAGATGGAGCACAGGCAACAGAGGCAGGAAGATCGGGGGACAGGGGTACAAGCTGACCCCACTCCCACGTGTCCTTCCCACACCAGCCCATGGTATGGCCCAGCAGTGCTCCCTTGCACTCTTCTGCACGGCCCTCAGGACACCCCAGTTCTGGAGAAAGACATTAGTTGGGGAGCCAGCTACAGTGGCTAGGATGGGGACATAATATCATGGCAGACTTCCTGGAGGGCCTCAGACAATGCTCTGAAGAAACAGAAAAGGCAGGAGGGAGAGAGGAGATGACACAGTGGACCCAGCTGGAGAGTAGGAACCTAGCTGGCTGCCCAATGTCATGTGCCTCATACAGTGGAGAGGATTCAGAGCTGTCATCAGCTTTGTAGAAAGGGTTGGGACAGCCTGTCCCATAGCATCTCCACTCCCAGGGGAGAAGCCACATCTTACACACACCCCCACATAGACCTCCCTACTAGGAAGTCCCTCCCTCTCCATACAGCTCAGATCCACCTGAAAAGAGGCTCCTGGCAACCTCCCACTGGCACCTCACTTCCCTCAGTCCCCTGGGGTGTCCCACCCTGCTACACTGTTGGGACTGGCTGGCCAGGAGGACACAGAGGGAAGCTTCAAACTCCTTACTCCTTGCCCAGAGTCCGAACATTCACCTGACCTAGGGCACAGTGCAGATCCCATTGGGGACCCAACAGAATTTAGGGCAGGTGACAGGACTCGGGCACTCTCAGCAGGTGGAATGTTCTCATGGTAAGGCCAGTCCTACCAGCCATTCCTCAACTCCAAAGAACACAAATTAGAGGAAACAGGCCTTGATTGCAGCCAGAGATTTTAATTAGCTGAGCAAGAACTCCTTCCCAGCAGTGATTAGGGGGTGATTAATGACCCTGGCCAGGAGCTGCCAGGGGTAGAGGTAAGCTTCCTCCTGCTATCCTCTCAAATGGCCAGGACATCCATCTTTCTGGATGTAGGGTTGACCCTGCTCTGGAAGTCAGATGTCCTGGGGGAAGAGGAGAGGCAGGTATTCCGAGATGATGAACTGGCACAATTATTAACTCCGGACTATTGGGGAACAGCCCCTGCACCACAGGCTTGGAAGCTCCCAAAGTTTGCTGTGGACAGGAGGCAGTGACCACCTGTTAAAGATGCAGACTCCAGGGCCCTGCTTCCTGGCTCAGTTCCAGGGGTAACCCTGCACGTATTGTAGTTTGACAAGAATCACACCAGGGACTCAGGTCATGAGCCAGGTGGGCAGAGTCAGTGACCTAATCCCCTTCCTTCCTCCCTTCCACCTCTCATTGAGATCTGCCTGCAGGCACCCTGGGAACACAGATAAATCAGTCTCCACTCCCCACACAGCACAGTACAGGCAGCCAGGGAAGGGGAATGTCCGCCCCAAGCTGTCTCCAGACCCACTGGAGCCTTAGGGCAGCGGAACTCCAGTCCTGCCCACACTGCTGAGCACAGCAGGCTGCTCAGCCAAACCCTCCCAGAGCCACCTGTGCCTGAGTGTGCCCATGGACTCCCACTCACACAGCTCCCTGCTGCAGCACTCCCCCACCAAAGCCCCAGGGGGTAGAGGCTGTGCCTGAAGCCACAGTCAGCAGCAGTTTCCAGCCTTACAAGGTCATGTGTCAGGCAAGGGGTCTGACTAGGTGGCAACAGCTTCCTTTCAACCCTAACTGCAGAAAGCATCCAACTTCTAACTTAGTCCCAATAGTCTACCCAACGCTTTCAGCCCTGCAGCTGCTCAGGACCTTGTTTGCAGACAACTGAGAAGAAACCAGAGTAGTCCCCCTGGGCCCAGGCACTCTCCTCCAGCTCCCTCAGCCTGGGGCACCTGAGGGGCATGGGAGCCCTCAGGTGCTAGGCAATAGGTGGGATTCCCCAGAGACCCTCCTGGAGGCCCTGATCACTCAAATCACAGTCCCGCAACTACTCACAGTGGGCAGGGCCCTGCCAGCATCTGCGGTGAGGAGTTCCCAGTGTCCATGCCATCTTACCATCTCTGCCGCCACCCCCCATCCCAGCCTGCTCTCCACCAAGCAGAGAAAGAGAGTGCCTCATCCCCCAGGAGGATAGTGTTGCCACCCGCAGCTGGTCTCCCAGCCCAAGAGGCTCTGCAGGGGCTCATGCTGGTTAACTGCTGCATGCACAGCAGCACACGGCATGCTCATAACAACTCTAGAAGGCAGTTGGTACCTATATCCTACAGAGCTGGAGGCTGAGGTAAAGGGAGCTTAAACACCTTCCCACAGTCACACCAACAGCATTTAAACCTAGGCTGGCCTGAGTGGCCACAGTGCCTACCCATTATCACAGGCCACCTCCTCCAGGAAGTCTTCCCCAGCCTTCTCCCAAGTGCCCACAGAGCTTTGGGCTACCTCCACTGCAGACTCTTCCCCTACCAGGCTGTCATGGTGCAGCACAGGAGGGGATCTGCTGTAGTCTGACTCCATTTGCTACATGATTGCCAACTCTGTCAAGGCCGCAGTTTCCTCATGTGTGCAGTTTCCTCACGGGGCCAAGCTTGAGCACAGGAAGTGGCTCCAAGCTACCATGCGGATCCCGGCCCAGGCCACCCCCAGTAGAGGACTCTTGCTGAGCACTTTCCAGCGGCGACGCTCACGGCCAGGCCGGACCCGACCCCCAGAGGCCCTGGCAGTGTCCACGCGGCCGGGGCAGCCCATCTGCCGAGCCCCCTCAGCTCGCACACCCTGGCACCCGAGCAAGCAGGCACAGACTCACTTAGAGACGAGTGAGAACGCCTCAGAGCAGATGGCAGGACAGGGGACGAACTTGATGAGGATGTGGCCCAGGGCAGCGGGGAAGTGGGCACGCATGACCTTCTCCAGGACAGAGCTGAAGGTGTGGATGTCGGCCGCCTTGCAGGAGGGGTCCCCTGAGCCTGTGTCCAGGATGTTGCCACCGTGCAGCACCAGCAGGAGCACATGTGTCTTACAGGAGCGCTGAGCGCAGCCTTCCTGGAGGGACATGGGTGGGGATAGAGGCAGGCAGCAGGGAGAGATGGGGCACTGGGGCACACACACATGGGGAGACACTGGCCCAAGCTCCAAGTCTAGGAGCTCTGCAGCCTCCCTTGTGCTGGGAGCGCAGATACATTCAGAGGGAGAACAGGCTACCAGGCAAGGAGGGCAAGACCTTCAAACGATGTCAAGGCACAGAAAACTGGAGACATCTTTCTTGTTCATACGGGAGCCTGAAGCCCAGAGAAAGACAGGAAGCTACCCAGGGTTACATAGCAAGTCAAATGAAGAGCAAGATGAAAACGAGGCAGCCTGTCTACTGCCCAACGGATCTTCCTAAAATGCTGACCACAGGTGATTTGGACACCTGGGGAAACCCAGCTCACCTCACTGTCCTCATGGATCTCGATGCTTCCCTGGGCTGGGAATCTCTGTCTTCTCAAGGATACCCGGTACAGTTCTCCTGCAGAGGGGACAGAAGCAGAGCTTAGTATCCAGCCCATCGGCCACCCCAAGCCCCACAGCCATGGGACATTTATGGACCCAGCTGGCTGCAGAGCAGAGGCCCTGGAGTGTGTGTGGATTGGAATCATGGCCTGGAGTTGGGAAAGTCACCCCACCCAGCCCCTGCCTCTGAAGTCCACCCCCATGAAATGCTTTGTCCTGCTAAGGAAAGGAAGAGCGGCGGCGAGTGGCCACCATGGATGATGGCCACCCCGACTGTGGCAATGCACCCTTGTGTTGCAGGCAGCTGAATTAGATAGAAATATTATAAGCAGTCAGACAGGGCAAGGCCTTCAAGGAGACAGCACGGAAGGCGTTACAACTTTGGGAGAGACAGACCCCTGCTGTGGGCCAGACCTCAGGACAACAGAGTAGCCACGTAATTCCCCCAGGAATGGGCACCACGGATTGATACTCTAAACTGGTATCAATCACCTGGAAGCCAGCGAGAATCACTGACCCAAGCCCCTACAGGAAAAGCCTCTGTTCTGTATTCGTGTCCTCTTGCTGTGTGACCGGCTGCCCCATTTGGTCCTGGATTGCAGTCAATTTTGCCTGAGCAACTGTGCTTGTAATCTGATCGGCTGATGATAGTTTTGTCCCAGCTCATGCCCACCTAAGCGAGTCCCCATGTTCTCCACCTTAGACCTGCCTCACCACATGGTTTTACTCTATAAAAGTCCCTGGAAGAGACAGATTCTGGGGCAACCTGCTCAGGTGCCCCTTCTATCCTTGTCTCGGACAGGAGCTTTCCTTCCCCCTAATAAATTTACTCCGCTCTTAACCTCCATGGTTCCTAAAATTCATTCTTTGGTTTTAGAGAACACAAATTCAGCCCAGGTATCTTTCAGGTTGGGAGTTTCATTCTTCTACATCACTTGGAAGGAGCAAGTTCACCAAGAACAACAGCAACACTGGGTGTCATCTGATGATGGCCACTTCCGGTCATGGACGCTACTTCCTCTCTCTCTCTCTCTCTCTCTCTCTCTCTCTCTCTCTCTCTCTCTCCAGCACACCTGGAAGAGCCACGTCCACTTGACATGACCCTTCCGTGTGCCTGCAAAGCTGCCTCCAGGAGAGATTAACCTTTGAATTAGGACCCTTGTAAAGAGGATGTGGCCCCTCCAGTTTGGGTGAGCACCAAGAACGCCAAGTGGAGGAGAGCCGATTCCACTCTCCCACTTAGTGTAGCCATCCATCCCCTTCTGCCCTCACTCGTCAGGGCTCCTCACTTGCAGGCCCTCAGACCTCAGGCCTGGGCTGAGACTGAAGCAACAGTCCTGACTTTCCTGCACTGGTGCTGACCCCCAGACCACAGGACTCCTCAGCCTTTGCAGCAGGAAGAGCCATTCTCCCATAATGAGTCTTTCTGTATAACTCTCTGCTTCTCTGGTGGAATCTGTTTTCCCAGAGAACCCTAAATAGTTTTTCCAAAAGTATCTGGTTGGGGCAGGAGGTGTAGTTCAGTAGTCATGTTTGCCTGCTGTGTGTTAGGCCCTGGGCTCCATCCCCAGCACTGCAAACAGAAAAAGAAAGGTAGGATGGGGAGGCAAGGAAGAAGCCTCACTGAAGCTCTCTGAAAGTCAGTAAGGACCGTGGTCCAGGAGGAGGACCCTCAGGGAAGCAAGTCCAGCATTGGTATGGCATTTGGCATCACCCGCAAGTTTTAGTGTAAAGCAGCTCACTTCAGAAGTGTTCTCCAGGCTCTTCCAGCTGCCTGACTCAGAGCTCCTCCAGGAAGGCCTCTTTGGGGCCAGCAAGATAGCTCAGCAAACTAAAGCACCTGCTTAGGCAACCTTAGGCAAGCTTAGGCAAGCACAGGGACTGCAGTTCAATCCTCAGCACCACGTGCTGCACCAGTCCTGCCCCCAGAGTGAGCTAAGCGGGCCAAAGTGTGGGACTGGTGACACCTGCTTGTAATCCCAGTCCTGGAGAGGCTGAAAGCAGGAGGACCACCACAAGTCCGAGCTACATAGTGAGGCCCTGTATCAACCAAATACATAAAAAAAAGAAAGATTTCTCTGACTTTCCCTTCTTGAACTCAGAGGTCTACAGCCTGTTTCTGTAAATAAAGCTTTGTTAGGACATAGCCAGGCTCATTCACTTACAGATTGCCCATGGCTGCTCTCAACACCGCAGCAACAGACTTTAGTAGTGGCAACAGGCTTTCAGTCCTTAAAGCCTAAACCATTTACTGCCTGGCCCTCCACAGAAAAATGTGCCAATCATTGATCTAACACCTATGCTCCCATGTGGCACGGTATTGGATTTGCAAGTGGAGGTGGACCTCAAAGACATCCAACAGGCACCTCCATGCAGAGGCAGCCCTGGGCAACTTCCTTCTAACCAGCCCACCTCGCTGCCTCTCCTTTCTCCCCCAGAAGACAAGCACTATTTCCTCTGCACAGCCAAAGCCCACAGCTAGCTGGTGAAGCGCTTGTCTGCCATTGTTAAGGTCCTGAGGATGACCCTTCCCTTCCCCACGCTCGTCTTCCTCTTCTGCTGCTCCAACTGCTCCCCGCCGTGCGCCATAGCCGGGGAGGGGCCTCTTCCCGGGCTCTGTTGGCAGCCCTAGCCAACCTAGGGCTGTCTGAGTCAGCCTCCTCAGCCAGTACCAGCCCCAGGAAAAGGTGCTCCGCAAAAGAATTCCAAAGGAGGAGCTCTGCTCAGCAAGGAGGGACATTTCTGAAATCTTCTGTCCTCACAGACATAACCCTGGACTGAGAGTGACTGCTTTATGAGCTCAGAGCTGCTGCCCACACAGACAGAAAATCGTTTTCTAAGTAATGAAGGGGTTTAGCTTTTAGGGTGGGAGAAATAAGCCTGCGCTGAGCCTGGCTCTGCCCAGCACTTTCGAAAGCCCCTGCCAGTGGCTTAGACTCTTCTGCATCATTTCTAATGCGTTAAAGACTTGGCCCTGCACTTGGCTGTGGGAGACCCAGGCCTTGGGCTTAGGAGAGGGTGATGACTAGACAGGATAGGAATGGCCCAGCTTTCCTGAGCATGAGTGAATATTATGTGCAAGGCATGAGTGAATATTATATTCACTCATATATAATATTATATTGAGCGAATATTATATATGTCATCTCACACATAGGGGAGGCTGAAAACAGGAGGATCACTACGAGTCCCCACAATTGTCCCCTCTGAATTTGGGTGCTTTTGTTCTTTGCCCCACTTCACAGATAAGCAAACTAAGACTCAGACAACCCAGGTTCCAGGACAAAGAACCCGCATCAAACTTGCCACACAGGGGCCACCAGATAGCTCAGCAGATTAAAGCACCTGCTTAGGCAGATGCTGGGCCAAGGGTTCGATCCCTGGCAGTGCTGCCCCCCAACACCCGGGGCATGCTGAGATGGCAATTGAGACTGGGTGTGGTAGTGCACCTGTAATCCCAGTGGTTGGGAGGCTGAAAACAAGAGGATCACTACAAGTCTGATCTGGGTAGTAAGACCCTGTAGACCCTGTAGACCCTGTACTAAATACAAGAAGAAAAAAAAAAAAACATGCCACATGCCATGTAAATAACCAAGGCAATCCAGCCAGAGAACTTCATCTCCGATGCTTTACTGGGTGCTGCCCTGTGCTTCTGAACCACACAGCTTACCTGGAAGGTGGACAAGCCAATTCTGCAAAGACACGAAGCACAAATGGGCCACAGCACCACGAACATTAAAGTCCAGGTAGGCTATCCCAGGCCCACTTCCCGTGACACAAAGCATGCGTCACAGGGAAAAAGCATCTGGGAAGGAAGCTGACACCAGGCAGCTACATGTGCAGCCTCACCAGGAGCAGGAAAAGCAGGAGGACACAGGGGCAGAGGCAGCACTAAGGCCAGGGCAGGGGATGGGGGTCTGGAGCACCCCTGCCCCTGGGGCTGGCAGGGCTGGGGTTAGAAGGTGCTGAAGCCAGAGGGCTGCAGTTCCAGACTCTGCTTTTTAATTTGTTTTTTCTTCTGTCCTGGGGATTAAGAACCCAGGATCTTCCTGCTGAGGTGCATCTCCAGCCCTTTCTCATTTTTTGAGACAGGGCCTTACTAAGTCACTATGTTGCCCAGGCTGGTTTTGAACTTGCTGTCCTCCTGCCTCAGCCTCCCAGAGTGCTGGGATCACAGAATGCACCACCAGGTCAGGCCATGACTTGCCTCTTAGCAGCTGTGTGCCCAATACTTTGGTTTCTCCATCTGAGATACAGGAATAATAATAGTAACTACCTCGCAGAGCAGCGATAAGGATAAAGAAGCTCACACAGAGAGCTGGCGCAGAACAGGGCATGGAATAGAAAGTGTCATAGGTGTTCACGGCTGGGATTATTCTGGGATAATCATAGATCTGGGGCTACAGATGACACCTGGGCTGGAGGCTGCTGGGGACATCACTGCCTGCACATTGGCCTGCCTGGCTGCCAAGTCCCTCCCTGAGCCCTGGCAGGATCTCTGGCCTCACTGGGCTGGGTGCCTGCTTGCAGTGTGATTATAGGATTAAATCCTGTGATTGCCACAAATTGCCATAGCTGGACTATAAATAACTTGCAGGGGAGACATGAGGGTCCTGCTGTCTCCTGGGCACCATGCCCTCGTTAGGGGTGGGCTGGATCCATGAGCTCAGTGATGACACTAAGCGAGGAGCTCTCCCATCCTCGAGCTGCCTGGAGTCAGCGCTCTCGCTTCCCCCAACCCACATGGTACTCTGGGCATCAGCTGGGAGCACAGGTGCTGCCTGCCAGCCGTGAGGGACGCTGTGGAGGCTGAAGGCTGGACACTGTGTCTCCAGGATCGCTCACCTGACCCTAGCAGAAAGGAAGAGTCTCGTCTCCTACGCACTTTGGAGACAGAGCCTTGCTTTGCTTCAATGCACAAAAGGCAGAAAGCTGTGCTGTACGTGAGGTTTGCTGGACAGACGGAGCCTGTCTGAGATAGATCTAGTCCCTTGAGAATCGACCACTAGGACCAGC